ATGGTTTTTGTTCTGTGCCATGTGTGCAGGACCTAATTCATCCTGTGATGCCCCTACAGTCTGCCTGCCTCAGTTCCCTCTCTATGATCCCAGTAATGTTCCACTGAATGGGGACACTTTCTCTTTGACATGAATGTATTCATTCTGCAGTGAACAGAACTTAAGAGAACCCTTTCTCGAATATTGGATTAAGAAACTACATTTTGAAAATATAACCCTGTAATGTAAGAACAGTAAACTTTCTAATGGTTCTATAAAAATATTGTAAACCGTCTTTGGGCCAGTCAAAATATTCTCACCTTTCAGTGATTCAACAGTTTTTTCAGAAGCACCTTGTAACTCGGGCACTAGGATTTTGAGGTTAAACGTGAACAAATCCCAGGTGCAGTGAGGCTGGACAGGGTTCCTGCTCCCTGCTGCTGAACGTGTAGACACATCTGCTCCACTTACCGTCACGGACTCCAGGCCAAACTGCCGTTCTTGAGAGGTTAAGGGATTCCATGGGCATGGTTCTAGGATAGGATTCCTATTGCTCCTCCAAACCTCCTGCCACCAGGACAGTGCTGTGGCCACTCAGACTTCCTCTGTGCTGTTCTAAAGCTTTACCCGAGTGCCCGCTTCAGGTGCTTTTTTCACCTGAAATTTGAGAATTTTCAAGAGATAATGAAGTTATAATAATCACCTTCAAATGATCTTTTTAGGCAGTAAGGGCTCCCAAATGCAAAATAGAGAAATTATTGTTTTGAAGTATTTTCTTTCAATTCAAGAGAATGAAATCAATTGAATCGAGAGTATAAAAACGGTCATCAAACTTGGGTTTCCTAATGAAGAGTTTCTAGGTTATTGAAGTGATTTCTTCCTAATTACCTGGAAGCAGAGGTAGCACCTTTTAATGTTGCGTGAATAGTACTAATATTCCCTCAAGTTTTTGTAAATGAAAGCGTTTTTATTTAAAATTTATCACAGTGAATTTATGTGGGTCTATTCTCCTAATCAGTATTTCAAAATAAGATTGTACTTTTGTGTGCCTATCTGTGCGTGTGTTCGTGGGAAACAGTATTTGTCCCATCTGAAAAGGAATGACACAGATTTACCATCCGTAAAAAAGTATCGTGTAGTGAATCTAATTGCCTCAGTCGGAAACCTAAATGACTTTGTAGATTTAGAGAAGTGTTAGCGCTTTTTGGGAAGCAGAATTGTGATCACAGCCTAACAAAGAATGGTTGATGTTGCTCTTTCATTGCCTAATGCGACAATACACCCTCCAGTGATGTGTCATCTCATCAGCATGGCCCACCGTGGTTTCCTTGCCTCGCAGAACTGTCAGCTTGCTTTGAACACTTCGGGGCCAGGCATCAGCTACTGGCTGCGTGTCCCCCACGCTGTTCCCATTACCACTTCCTAAAGCCAGCGCCTCTTGCTGTTTCTTTTCCTTCACGCTGGCGCTTTTCCTTCTAGCCGCTGCCTGGCTGCCTTGAGGGCACTGCCCTGAGCTGTTGACATTTCAGTAAATCAGCCACTGGGCGCACTCGGCAGCCTCCATCTTTACATGTATGTTTGTTCCAAGCGTCAGTATTTCTGTGATTTAACTATTTCCCTTGGCATGGCTCTTGATTATACTCGATTCGGGTTTTTATTTATAGTAACAGTTTGCTGATTTGTTTGGAGAAAAAAAGGTCCTTTTCAGGAATTTTATTTTTAAAAATTCAACTCAGTTGTAGTTTGTGAGCTTTCATCATAATTTATAACTACTCATTTAAAGAGTATTCTAGACCAAAAAAAACTTGCTTTCACAGTTGATTATTAGTAATGTTCACTACCTATAAATTACAGTGGACTAAAAATATATCCACCAATGAATGAAAATACTTGTATTTCGCAATGAATTACTCAAAAGCAACTTGAAAAGTTATGAGATATTTCTTTCAGTGATGCGTGTGGAGAAGGCTTTACCACCTAGTGTCTTCACTCACAGGGTCTTTCTGGGATGGGCTTCACTTTGGCTCTTATCTAATCTCCTGTATGCTCCGTACTCCGTGGGGAAGCTCTCACTGCCACTCCCACAGACACCTGCCCCCTTTAGATGCTCTTTTAGGATAATTATAAGAGTCCAGCTGGCCCTGGTCGGGTAGCCCAGTTAGTTAGAGCATTACCTTGATAAGCCGAGGTTACAGGTTTGATCTCTAGTCAGGCCACATACAAGAAGCAGCCAATGACTGCATAAATAAGTGGAACAACAAATCGATGTGTGTGTTTCTCTCTCTCTTTCTCTCTCTTTCTCTCTCCCTCCCCCTTTCCCCCTTCCTCTGTCTCTAAACTCAATAAATAAAAAGATTCCAGCTGCTAGATTGTTTTCCGACAAGTATTCTAGGTGTCTGCTTGTACACAGTTTGTTATGTCACACTGAGTGTAGGCAGTCCTAGAAACCTGGGTAATATTTATAAGGCTTGCATTGTGTAATCCATGTTTTAGGTGCAGGAGTGGGGAACCTTTTTTTCTGCCAAGGGCCATTTGGATATTTATAACATCATTTGAGGGCCATACAAAATTACCAACTTAAAAATTAGGCTGCTATATTTGGTCAAACATTTAATTAACTCACCCCTAAAGTGATGGCTGGAACTGCTTCTCTTTGGTGTGGCCTTGGCAGGGCCAGACCAGATGATTTCAAAGGGCTGTCTATGGCCCACAGGCTGGACATTCCCCACCCCTGTTGGGAGAGTTACCAAGTTTGTCATGTATGCCTCGTTTTTCTGGGAAGCCTCTGTACTAACCCACTTCCTTCCTTCTTTTTCATGTTCCCCACCCTACAGACAAACACAAACACACATGCACACACACATGCACACCCTACACACCTGAAATTCATATCCCATGTTAGGGTAGGTAATCTGAGATTTCTGGTGCTGCCTACTTTCCAGTGCTCAAGTAAAAGTAAACTTTTTCATTTTAACATAACTTACTATTTGTCCTCACTATCACTAACATAGTATCTATAACAATGTATATTTGTATATAATAACATAAATATATGCACACATTATGCTAAAATCATTTGTTCAGTGTAACGACACAAATGCCACGTGTTAAAAATAGACAAAGTCTCACTTGTAGGACAACCAAAAAATCTCAGCAACAATGCTAAAATATATTCTTTTGAAGAAATTCTTTCTGATTTTAGAGAATCCTACATTTGGGTTTTCCCAAAAACATATAGGAGATGTAATATATTCCAAGTTTCTATAAATGATCTTATTTCTGAGTTTGCAGTAGTTTGAAATTTCAGAAAGATCAGAAGCTTAAAACATCTAGAAGTTTAAAACATCTAGAGTGCAGGCGAGAGTTAGCATGTATTGCAGTTTCATCTATTACATGGATCTGGGAAGATCCATATTTATATGTAAGCGGAGAGCCCTCCTTTGTAGGTTTTCCATGTTTAGAGCTGATGTTAGGCTTGTCTGTTCCCCTCAAGAACCTTTGCTGACCTGGTTCCTGTACATGTATCAGTTAGCAGGCTGGTGCCTGCTGGTTGGAGGTCTGCATCTGGAAGCAGATATTCATGCTGTCGTAGCTGAGGAGTGGTTGGAGATGCGGAGCCTCCACTCATTGGAAGAGTGCTCTGGTATCATTGTTGATCTGAGCAAGCTTACCTCTTTTTTTCTTAAACTTCCAGACTGAAAGGCAGAATGACTGGTGGAAAAAGCATGAACTTCAGAATCAGATTTGGTTTCAATTTTGGCATCCACCTATAGGCTGTGTGATTTTTTCACTTATTTCTATGAGTCTTAGTGTCCTCATTTGCAAAATGCAGGGCAGTTATAAGTAACAAATGGAATAACAAACCCAAAAGTGCCTGGTACTTGGTAAGGAATTAGTGAATATTATTCTCGTTCTCTCTCTCCACCACTAAAGAGCATGGGCGTGGAGTGAGTAGCCTCCACAGCAGCTTGTTTTAGCTCCCCTTCATGGTTTGATCAGACAAAACCTAGCCAACCACATTTTCAGACAAAGCTTTAGAAAATCATCTGTTTTATCCCCAGTAAGAGAACAAATACCCCCCAAAATTCCAAGCTTGGAGAGGGGCTAAAAGGGGGTAAGTCTTCTCTGGGAACTGTATTAGCTCCATGCTTTCCTGAATAATGCTCAGTGGTATATCGCTGATGCAATGAGATTGTACATTATTAATGTATTTTTTAAGATTCCTTAACTCAGTGTGAACTTTTTCTTTCATCTCATCTTACACAAAACCCAACTGGAGATTTTAAGAAGGTGATGTGTAATCAATACTTTTATTCACAGGTGATTTTTCTCTTAGTGACAAGCATATACAGTTATGCTGCTTTGAAATTTTTATCAGCTTAAACAACAAGAAAGTGACATTCCAAATGAATCAGATCGGGCAGAGGTTACATAATCTATTGACTGTATGAGGAGTTATGATGCTCTTAATTGAGCCAAAACCTATCCTTTCAAAATGCTCTTAAATTGGATTATGCAGAGTAAGATAGATGTTTATTTTTTAAATGGACTTAAAATATTATTGCAACAATGAGAAATTCAAAGACTTGGTGAGTTCTAAAACTAAGATCTCTGCCTCTTCTTTTCTTAACTCTGCCATCTTTGAATATGTAGCTCATAGTAAGAGTCTGTGCTAGCAGACCCTCTTTTTCAATAACCCATTCATTATGATCCTGTGAGGTAGGCGTCCCTTTCCCTTCTCTTTCTGCAATTTATTTCTAGAGCATACTAAAACCCTTGAGTCATTTTGGAGTTACATGCAATAGACCATAATATCAAGATTTTAGATGATAGCATAGAGTAAAAATGTTGAGATATAATATGATTTTAAAACCACAAAGTAAAGTTTGCCAGTAGTTAGGTATCGATTGTCATCTTCAGAAAAATTTTGGAAAGATTTTCAGAACTAGTTTGAGTTTTAGTAGTGAATGTAGTCACTGAAGAAAACAAATTTATAACTGTTTCTCTTTTTTCAATTTCAGGGTCAGCCTGGTCCTCGGGTAAGTGAACTCTTTTCTAACAAATTAAGTCCAGTTTAGGATTTTTCCAGTGTGGAGGTTTTTCTGCAATTCTTTTCAAAGGATATAAAAAAGCTGTGAGCCAGTGATCATGACACCACACAGTAGACCAAATATTTCCCAGGAGTAAAGCTTTGGGGCCTCTTCAGGGCTGTATGAGCCACGTCAGCTGTTGGACCAGATGGCAAGTTTAACAATGTACTATCATATACAGCAAAACTCTTAACTGATCTGAAATAGAGCCACAGGACTTTAATGTAAGACAGAATGCTTAGGAGATGGCGGGTATGAACTGGCTCACATTAGGTGCTGATTAATCATGTACGAATAATGTTGTTGTAAACCCACACTGGCTCTGATTATGTAGACTGTGATCCTACCAGCCACTTTTGATTCATTATAGACAGATATTGACTTTGTTCTTCATTTTCAATGTAAACCAACTGCTGAAGACACGATTTATAATTAAATGTGAATAGTCAACAGAAAATCTTTTGAGCCCTGAAGCACATTGAAGAAAATGAAGAAATTTTAGGAAGGGGGGGACATGTATAAAGATGAAAGCACAAAAGGAGGAAGTTGTCAAAACTGAAGAGTCAGCAAAAACAACAGATTTAATATTAATACTTATTATAGTCCAGATGAAGCTGCAGAGGAGGAACTGCCATTATTAGTGTTTCACCCTTAACACCACGATACCTGTAAATAACAATTGTTTCTTGAGTTTCCCTTACATCTCTTTCCCTTCAATATGCTGAATGCCATTTCTGTTCTAGATTGTTTGATAAAGATGATTTTCATGATATCTTTGTTAGTCAGTATCGTAAACTGTCTATTGTGTGCTAATTTTCATGTTAGACCAAGTGCATATTACTTATACTTCTTATGAGCTCTCTATTAAAGATGTCTAACAAACAAAACCCTCACATACTTCAGTAGAGCAGTCCTTTTCACACTACACTCATAAGGAAACATTTGACATGTAATTAATTTATATTCATATCAAAGAATACTCTCATTATTTATGATTTTCACTCTTATATTTTTAGTTGGTTCAAGGTAATTATTGGAGGGAAAACACTCATCAAGGAAAGTTGTAGCTTACTCCCTAAATTTGAAACTGCCACATTATAAAGGTATGAAGGCAAAGTACAATGTGTTTTATTTTATTTGATGCTTACAACATCCCTGGAAAGTATAGCATATATAAAAGCAGAAGAGATAAATGACTTACCTGGGTGACACCATAAAACTGGGAGCAGGAGTCAAGTTTGTCTCTAAAACCCTCAGACATCTATATCTCTTTAAGAAAAGAAGTAAGATAACAGATGATAAAAGAAATTAGAGTGTGGGTTTTAAGACAGGATTATAATCTTTAACATATTTTAAGTTTTAATAGAACCTCTGTCTTAGTCTGCATCACCTCCCACTACCCCAAAGCAGTTCTGAAGATAAGGGTTTGAACATAAATAATCTGTCTGGGAGACGACCCCAGGAAGCGTTGTGAGGGAGTGGGAAAAGAGCCCAGGGAGAGCCTGAAAACCAGAAGACAGGTGTGGTAATGAACAGGTTACTGCTGTGGACTGGGGCTCAGTCCTGCTGAAGAACTTAGGAGAGCCTGTGCAGAGCTTACTTCAGACTCTCCCACCAAGGGGCATGGAAATTGATGTATTTATCCACTAATTTACCTTTCTTCGTTGTTGAGAGTCGTGCCTGGGTGTTAACTCCCTGGCACTTGTGACCTGCGCCCAGAAGGTCCGGCATAATCCAGCAGCTGGAGGAATGCAGGAAGCCTTAGGGACCTGCGGGATCTGTCTTGGAGGAAGGCAGTGCTGTGGGTTAACACCGGTGTCTGCCACAGTACCTAAGGGCAAGTGTGCTATCGATAAAACGGAGATATGGATATAAAGATTTGGAAATTGGACAGAAAGACAGCATTATCTCAGAGGGAAGGGGGAGGGAGACGGGAAGAGATTAACCAAAGAATTTATATGCGTATATGTATAACTCATGGACACAGACAATAGTGTGGTGAAGGCCTGGGGGGCAGGTATGGAGTGGAGGGGGTCAATGGGGGGAAAAGAGGGACATCTGTAATACTTTCAACAATAAAGATACATTTTTAAAAAATCATATTAGTTAATGAGATGTTAAAAGGAATAACTATAAAAAGAACAAGGTCATAATAAATCATGAGAGCACAGCTACAGCTAATGAGCAGAAGAAAGATGATGGGTGAACCAGCAGCGCAGGAGGCCAAGGATGGACAGAACTAGGAACATTCTGGATCACTGTAGCTAAGATTTAAAAGTGTATTATGGGCCCTGACCAAGTGGCTCAGTTGGTTGGAGCACCAACCCGTGCACCAAAAGGTTGCAGGTTTGATTCTCAGTCAGGGCACATCCCTAGGTTGTGGGTTCTATCCCCAGGAGGCAACTGATCAATGTTTTTCTCCCCCTTCTCCTTTCCTTTCTCGCTCTCTAAAAATCAATAAAAACATATCCTCGGGTGAGAATTAAAAAAAATTAGTTCTATTTCCTCCATGAAAATGACTATAAACAAACATTTTTTAGAAAAAAGTGTATTATGGCATTTCAGCATACCTTTACATCAGGTCTTATATTTATTATGGCTCTTCAGAAAAATAAGGTCTGTGTAACTGCCTACACTTGAAAATTTTGGAAACTTTCAAGGGGGATAGGACTGGCATTTTCAAATGACGATGTGCTCTGGTTTTCCTTAATTTTGGCAACCAGTTTGCCCTTGGTGGACACTCTAATCACATGAAAACTTAGTTCCAAATGTCTTCCTCGTGTCACAGCCAAAGGAAAGCAGGAGAATCAGGAACAATAGGGACAAGAGGAAATGCAGAGCCAAGAAGTGCCCTCACATTGGCTAAGGAACGAAAAGTAGACAAACAGTTTTGTTGCTCTGTCCCCAAGGAGAACTCTGACCTACCTCTTACGTCTGCATTATCATCATAATATTTTCAAAAAAAACCTTCCAATTTGGGGTTTTAAATTAAATAACTATTAAGAAGTTTTTCATTTGGTACTTAATCAACTTTGCTCTGAGATTTTTATTTATACATTAATTTTTATATATAAGCTCCTTTCCAACTATATTTTTTATTTTCTCTGTTACCTATTTTAATGTATTATTTTTCCAGCCCATAATCTACTCTTGAGATTCTTTCTTTCTTTCTTTCTTTCTTTCTTTCTTTCTTTCTTTCTTTCTTTCTTTCTTTCTTTCTTTCTCTCTCTCTCTCTCTCTCTCTCTTTCTTCCCTCCCTCCCTCCCTCCCTCTCTCTCTCTCTCTTTCTCTCTTTCTTTCTTTCTTTCTTTCTTTCTTTCTACAAAAAGTGGACCTTACATAGGATTTTAGCTCCACAAACAATTTTTATCTAACTAAAGATATATTTAGAAATGACCTATATAGTAGGTGTGATTATCAATATATACAGCAGTTATAGTATTTTATACAGCTATATCTTATAGTACCATGTTACCATGAGCCCACTTTTTCCTTGGGTAGATTTTTATAAACTATACATTAAATTTGTTTCACATAGATCTATAAGGTACGTACAGTGAAAAAGCAAACAATGTACATTTAAAACCCAAATTAGGAAATTTTAATGGGCTCTTAAATTGTTGAAACATTTCTTTTATTTGATCAAATTTCTCTTAAAATGTCTTTGTTATTTGGGTGACTAAAAGTGATTTTATTCAAATACAGTGTATATAATAACAGGAACTTAAAATTTGGGACATGTCTTCCCTTTTTTTCATCATCTTTTTGGTGACTTAAAAAGGTATCCACTTTTTTCTTAAATTTTCAACTTTTTCAGTTTCCCTGATTTTATAAGATTTCTGAGCTAAAACTCTTCATAATTTATTTATATATATATATATATATGGTTTAATATAACAGATTTACCTACACTTCTTTCCTGCTGATCCTGTCTCTCCCTCATCTCTGTGTCTTTTTAGTACATTTTGTTAACTGTGGGGAAAGGGAAGGGCACAAACATTTTAAAATTTCTGCTTATCTTCTCACCCATCCCCATCTGCAACTAGTTAAGGGAGGAAAAGGGAGAAGAAAGTTTGCCATCTAAACAAGTTTTCTCCAAGTAAGTTCCCTTAACTAGTCCTCAAAACCTGCTCCCTGAGTCATAACCATGTCACCTAGGGATGACCCTTAGCTAGACACCTACTTCACTGAAAATCCAACTCCCAGTAACTGGTTAGTATTGCAAGAGCTACATTTCTAAAATCCCAAATTCCAGCTTTCGATGGATTTTTCCATTAGGAGTATTTCCAATACTGATTCTATTGTACAATAAGATTTTTTTTAGGTACATTAGGAATAGACTTTTGTGGGTTGGGCTGGGAAAACAAACTGTATTTGTATTATGATTCCTCTGGGAAGATACAATAAGATTTCCAAGCTACTAACTTCCAAAAAGAGAGTTGTAAATGTTTGAGAAATTGCACATCCTTTGGTTACTGGGAAACCCCAGTGGGGCTTGGGCTGCCTGTTGCTATATCCAATTCAACAGGGGCAGGGTTAAATCATATGAGGCGTTTATTGAGAAGGCCAGGCAACCAAGAAGACAGACTGCATACGAGCATCCAAAACCTGTCTTCAGAAATGGCCTGAAGGATAGGGTTATATAGGGAAATAGGGTAAACTGAGGCTGGGAACAGAATACAGCTATTGTGTAGCCCCTGAGGTCCGAAGACATTAGCTTTTGTTCTTGGTCATCTGGTGATGTCTGGATAAGATGATAGCTTGACTCCTGGTTGGGTCAGCCTCTTGGCCATATTGTCCACCGCTCACCTCCTTAATTGCTTTCTCCAGAATCAAGGGGAGTGTATGGGCGCAAAGGCCTAGGAAAAAGAAACTTAAGGAAAAAGAAACTTAAACCCCTGTTCACATGAGTATATGTGATATAATTATATTTCAGATTAATTCAGGTG